CTACAGACGCGGGGAGGAGCAGTCCCCCCAATCTCACCCCCACCACGCTGCGGACGATCTAAACACGCCAGGAAGGCTCTGGAAGGACCCTGGAGCGGCCGCCGGCATCAGCCCATGGCCCGGAGGGTAGGAACGGGGGCGGGGACCCCCGCGCCCCAGCCGCTCTTCGCGTCCCCAGCCCTGCAGCCCCCGTCTCCGGGGCTCCGGTTCTGGGCCCACCTCGCCCTCTCCACCGGCTCCTCCCCTCACCCTCTGCTCCTGTGTCTTTCCTTCTCAGTGCCCCTCTGCCCCCCTCCTTTGCCACAGCGTCTCACCCTCCCCCTGGCCCGCGGCGTCCCTCTTTCTGCTTCTGGGTCCTCTCTATCTCGGGCCCTTTATCCCTACCCCTCCCCGTCCTCTTCCTTTTCTGCTCTCCCCTCTCCTCTCCCCGACTCCGATCTACTTTTGTTGGAGCCCCCTACTCCCAGGCTAGGGGTGGGGACCGTGCTGGGAGAGGTCGGGCTCTCCAGGCTGCTGGACAAGCGATTGGCTTTTTGAGAGAGAGAAGGAGACAGGAGAGGAGCTGAGCACCGGCTTGGGAGGGTGGGGACAGGAACATGGCAGGAGGTGAGGACCCGCTTCATAGAGGGTGATGAACAGCAGGAGCAGTTGGATCCAACTTCAGGGCTCTGGAGAAGTTTGAAGAGGAAGTCAAAGAGCGTCAGGGATGAGACAGACGAAGAGCCTGGGCCACTAAGTGAGTCCAGGGTGGGAGGTGGAGCTGGATAGGAACACTCCTGTGCTCCGCCCTTGCCAGTCCTTTTGCATCTTGGAGCCTCAGTGTCTTCATCGCCAAGGACAGGGCTTGACCCTGTGATAGAAAGATCCCTCCACTTCCCAGGCCACGGCTGGGCGCTTGGTTCCTTGATGACCCAACTAAGAAGTGTGCCCTGAATGCTCGGGACTCTCTTTGAGGCTGTTTGCGGTGTGTGTTGGTGGGAGGCTGGGGCTGTCCTGAGCTGCCTCCTTCATGTGTCACCCATTGATTCATTCCTGGGCCTGGTTCCTGTGCCTCTCTGTGCGTTTGTAGGGGCCTCTTGGGTATTTGGGGGGATGGCACTCAAAGCCTGCAGGTTATAGGGATGTGCACTAAAGTGTATCTGGGGGGGAGGTCGTTTGGGTGTGACTGACACACAAGAGTGCACGTGGGTTGGTGTGCATGGCTGTGCGTGTGTCACGTGATGGGGTGGGCTGTGACAAGTGGTTAACACATTCAGACATGCACATTTGACAACTGAAATGAAATGGAAGTGGCAGAAGGCTGAGCGTGTCTACCTGCTTGTGTACACACAGTGCCCTGGTTCTATGGGAGGTGTCCCCACCAGGGCCTCTCCTGTCCCCACCCTCCCCTTCCTGCATTCATTCTCCCCCTCTCTCCTCCTGCTCTCTCTGTGTCTCTGAACCTCCCTGCCCTCTTCCTTCCCTTGGCAGCCACCTGCCAGACCACCTGGGACCCCCACCCAACTGCTCCAGCTCTTCCTTCAGGTCCTCTTGCCCACACACCAGGACCCCTGATGGGACATTTTTTACAGTGCAGGGCACAAGGGGAGGCCGGGCTCTCAGTTCCACAGACAGCTCCATAGGACATTGGGGGGGGGGGTTAAGCGAGCAGGGGACACCTGGGGACAGAGGGCACACCTCCTGGGTCCTAGGGTAGGGAGGCTGTCTGGCAGGTAGCTGAGTCTTGGGGTCTCTGACAACTCCTGGGGCTCTCTTTCAACTCCCCCCAGTACGATGAGCTACCCCACTACCCAGGCATCGTGGACGGGACAGCAACCCTGGCAGGCTTCTCTGAGACAGTGCCCTCTGCACCCCGGGGCCCTGGGCCCTACGGCCCCCACCGGCCTCCCCAGCCCCCGGCCCCAGGCTTGGACAGTGACGGCCTGAAGAGGGAGAAGGATGAGATCTACGGGTGAGTGGGGGGCTCCGGGCTCGTCTCTGTCTTGCGCTGGTGTCTCTCTGCGGGTCACTGTGTGGGTTCCTGTCCCCGTCTAGTGGCTCCACACCCCCCTCATGAGCTCCGCCCTCCTGCCTCCCTCAGACACCCGCTCTTCCCACTGCTGGCCTTGGTCTTTGAGAAATGTGAGCTGGCCACCTGCTCACCCAGAGATGGGGCCAGCGCTGGGCTGGGCACACCCCCCAGCAGCGACGTCTGCTCTTCTGACTCCTTCAACGAGGACATTGCGGCCTTTGCCAAACAGGTGGGCAGCCCCAGCCAGGGAGCACCCGGAGGGCCAGCAGGGTGGACCGCTGTCCCTTACAGCCTCTCTTTTCCCTCCAAGATCCACTCCGAGAGACCTCTCTTCTCCTCCAACCCAGAGCTGGACAACCTGGTGAGCTCTCCCGGGGCCCCCTCCACGGGGCTCTCGTATCCTGCCCTCCATATCCCTTGGCTTGGTTGGGGGTGCAGAGAAGTGACCACTGGCTGCTGTTCTCAAACCATGATCAGTGTCGCCCGTTTGCAACAGTGCAGAGCCTAGAGTTTGAGGACAGACGGGTGGCCTGAGTTCGGAGCCCAGCTCTGTGAGCCAGGGCAAGTGGTGCCAGGTCTCTGGGCCTCATGTCCTGGGGAGAGAGGAGAGGAGGGAGGGAGAGAGAGAGAAGGGGGAGAAGAGAGAAACGCCCTGAGCTCCAGCCAAGGCTTTCTACTGGCCAAACCCTTTGGCAAAGGACTCTGGGAAATGTGGTTTGCCCCAAAGGGTGGGAAAGTCAAGGGCAAAGGGCAGGGGATGGGCATGCCCACCTGGCGCCCCTGCTTCAGTGTCCTCTCTACCCAACTCCAGGGGTCTCCATCTCTGCCCCACGCTCTTCTTCCCGCTGTGTTCCTCTTGCTCTGACACTGTCTTGATCATCCTCTGTCACTCTTTCTGTCTTTGTCCCCCACCCCGCCTTCAGATGATCCAGGCCATTCAGGTGCTCCGGTTCCACCTGCTGGAGCTGGAGAAGGTGAGTGCTTCCCACCTGCCACGCCCTCACTTGCCCCCAGCAGTCTCTGCCCCACTGGAGTTGAAGCATAAGATGCCCCCACCCCTGTGCACCCCAGTCCTGGCCCCCGGGTGGCGCCCCCAGTACCCCGGTGCCCCCCCCAGGTCCACGACCTGTGCGACAACTTCTGTCACCGCTACATCACCTGCCTCAAGGGAAAGATGCCCATCGATCTGGTCATCGAGGATCGGGACGGCGGCTGCAGGGAGGATCTCGAGGACTATCCAGCCTCCTGCCCCAGCCTCCCAGACCAGGTAGGCCCAGGACGCGGTGCCGGGTGTCACCCAGCAACCACCGTGGCCTAAACATAGCGGGAGGGCACACCACACCACCACACCCCAGACGTGGGGTGTTGGTTACGGGGCAGCATTGCACATGGCCACCCGCCGTCCACACAGCAGCTGCACAGACTCGGAAACAGCTGGACCACAGACAGGTGCGCCTGTGCACACGGATACACGTGCACCACACACGTCAACAGCCGCGGACACCACCTACTGGCTCCGCTGCACCCATGCAGGTTCCCACACAGATACCCAAACAGGTGCAGTGGCACCCACTCTGCAGGCCACGGCGAAACCACGCCCTGAAGCACCCTGGCCACGCAGCAGCATGGGACCTAGGGCCGCTCCAGCACCGCCTTCTAGAGCGAGTGTGGACGCAGCCGCGCACCACACTTGGTCACAATAGATTCCCAGGTGGAGCGAGAGCCAGACAGCCCACTATGATGCCACACACGCTCAGGTCCAGACACTGGGAGTCAGACTAACCATGGTGCGTGCGCACGCCCACAACTCCAGCCCTGTCCCGCGGCTGCGCATGCGCACACGCGCTGTCCCCCTCAATAGCTGCAAGATCCCAGTCAGACTCTTCCACCCAGATTTGAAAATAACTCCCAGGCTTGGATATAGCTGCACAGGTCGGACCCAGCGAAGCAACAAGATAAAGTGGCATTGGCTCCGTTACAGGGGTGGCACTATGGACCGCCTAACAGCTCTGTGGGTCCCACTACCCAAAGAGAACAGTGAAACTTTGTGGAGTAAAGTCACGTAAGGACCACGCCCAGACGTCTACACCACTGACACACAGTCACATGATGGCACACGACACAGCTTTGGGCCTGGGGCTCACAGCAGCCACCAAACAGCCTCAAGGACCCGACCTCGCCTGTAGTGCATACACCCAGGGAGCAGCCCCTGCGGGTGAAGACGGGCTCTTCGGGAGGCTCTTATTCAGACCTCACACAGCCTGGATCCTCTTGCAGGACACTCAGCCATAGTCACACCCGCCCAGATGTTCTCACAGGTGTGTACCCACTTGTGCAGAAATCACAGCTGCCATGTGCACAGCCTCAGGGGACAGGATGGTACACACCAGTGATCTCAATGGCACCTGCAATGCCAGAGACTCGGGAGGCTGAGGCAGGAGGATCACAAGTTGCAGGCCAGCCT